CCACTCCCACCCCCGCCCCAGCTCCTCACGCCTCTTCAGCGTCACAGGTGAGCTGAGCTAGCACACAGGGTACCTGCCACCTGCATCTGGTGGCTCAACTTCTCCAGCATGCACCCACCTCCCTGGCTGCTGACTGACCACCCAAGGTCCCCACCACTCTGCCCAGGTGGTGCCAGGTCAATGGGAGCTCCCCGAAGCCTCCAGGGGGAGTGTGGAGAAGGCCAGGGCAGGACCCACTTTCCCTGCCTTGAGGCCTAGCCCAGTGCTTTCCCAGAATTTCATGTCACCAATGAACCGAGGTGTTCAGTTCTTTCTGTTGACTGATCAGGGCCAATGAGCCACCAGGTAGAAGTTGTCCTTTTAAATATATGAAACCAGAGAATTTTAAAAGTATCTTTTGAAGTTTTCATGAAGTATATGGTCGTGGGAGTTGGTCATCTGCAAAGGCCATCACTGCGTTTGAGGTGGTGGCACCAGTTTTGCAGGTGGCATCAGAGGCTGCTGCATGGGGAGGCCTTCTCCTTCCTACAGTGGGAGACCCACCTGGCGTGCCTCCCACATAGTGTTCTGTGACCCTCCAGGGAAATGCCACATGGGAGTCTGGGGACGGCCCTGTCACAGATGTAGTTTGTCAATGGCCTGTGCTTGACTCCTCACCTTGGAGGCTTCACCCAGCCATTCCCTGCAGCACCCCTCACCCACCTCACCAGGGCACCTGAGACTTCCTGTTGCCACTCAAGGCATCAGACTGGATCCCAAAATACAGGGTAGGCGGTGCTGGCACAGTGTAAGCAGATCTGACTGACAGCTTGACTGTGGCTGCTGGCAGGATGGCAGGAACTTCCCCTGGACCAAAAAGGCAGAAGGTCCAGAAGGGGGCAGGCAAAACCACTGGTCAGGATGTGACCACTCTCCTCTCCAGTCCTCCTGACCACTGGCTCTTCTCCCCTTGCTGAGGCTGTGATTTACCACACTCCTCACACCTGCACGTTTCCATCTGTCAAATGGGTCAGTAGCCAACAACTAGGAGGTCAAAGGAGGCAAGGGCCCTGCTGGCACTGTGGCCAAAGAGATCAGAATACCCAGATCCAGCCTGGCATTCCATTGTACCTCAGCCTCCTCATTTGAGGCCAGGGGAAGCCCGACCCTGGCTACCTAGCTCAGAGGGTTTTCAGGAGGCCCAGCCCTGGAGTTGGAGCACCGGAGCTTCCTGTGTGTGATGGAGTCTTCATGAGCGCGAGGCTGCAAATGGCAGCCTTGTTCCTGTCCTGACAGCTTGCAGATGGGGACTTACTTGCTTCCCCTTGACAAGCGAAAGTCTGGTCCATCAAGTCCATGTGGCTTCTGCTCCTGAGCTGGTGTCCTAGCACATGACATCTTCCTCCATCCTTGCTGAGTGCCGGGCTATAACAGGGGTGTGGGACAAGCCACTGTTCTGCTCAGGAGAGCTATCATCCTGATGGGATGAGACGTGTGTTGAGATCTGCACACGTCATCTACTGTGCTGATCATTGGGGTGTCAGTAAGAATGCACCATACCCTTTTCATTCTTTGGAGAAACAGGCACAGTAGCAGATTATTATGACCAAAAATACACAAGTCTCAGAAAGCACAGAATCCACCGGGTGAACCTGGGAAGGCAGCTTAGTGGAAGAGACATTGTTTAAATACCGCCTGAAATATTTAAAAACACAGAGGATGGGGATATGAGGGAGAGAGTGGCCTTGGAGATGGGAGCACCTTTGGGGTGGCCGAAGGGTGGAGAGAAAAAGGTCTGGGCCTAGGACACAGAATGCCTCTGAAGCTGGCTTCTCATTGTGAGCACGACTCAAGGGTGCAGGAGGCAGGTCAGCAAAGGGACTGCTTTCGTGTATCCACACAACTCCCTAGTGAGGCAGGCACTCAAAATCCCCTCTTATGGAAACCAAGGCCAGACCCAAGGTGGGGAGGGCTGGCTCTGGAAACCAGGTCTTTTGCTTCCAGTTTTCTTACTTCCTGTCCCAGCTTCTTTGCTTCCTTGGGGGGAAGTCCTCAGTCAAAATGAGGTCACATCTTCACAGGCAGCCTTGTGGGGAAGGGGTTCTTCTGCCCCCAGCTAGGGGCCAGCTCTAAGGGGCTCCTAAATGCCCCCAGGTCACATCCCAGGAGGCAGGGGAAGAAGTCGGCCCACCCTCGTCTGCTCAGGGGCCAGACCATTGTTTCCAAAGGCACAAGCAACCCTCAGATAATCCTGGACACTGAAGATGCAACTGTTATCTCTGCCTTTAATTGCTAAATTCTGATTGTGAGAGACATATACTCATTATAGAAACAGAAGTAACATTAATAGGAAAAAAAAATCACCCATGAGCCCAGAGTCTAGAGAGTACTACTGGCAATGGTTTAGTAAGTTTTCTTTATCTTTTTGAAAAGGTAGGTACATTTTAAAAATGTAACCAGAATCACACTAATCACAATTTCATGCTCTCCTTTTACCCTTAACATTCCACTTTCACTGCCCTGAGCCCCCTTCTTACAGACAACGACAAAGAAACCAGGGAAAGTGAAGTTGCTCAAGACCACTCTAAATAAGTGGTGGAATCAGGACTCATATCAGGTCTTTTGGCCCTGAAGCCAGGACTGAAATTATCATGACTGTTTTCAGATCCTAAGCCCAATCAAGAGGCACCAGTGGGAAGTGATGTGCCTGAGACCACAGGCCCAGACCTCAGGACTCCGGGACGCTCTGTGTCCTGTGACAGTCACAGTATGGCCGTAAGATTGTCAAGGTCACAGCGGCCATTTGCTTTGTGCACAAAGAGTTCCTGGCACAGAATGACAGGACCCAAAATGCCCAGGGGCCAGGCACTGCCCTGGAAAGTTCTATTCCGCCTCAGTGCTTGCAACTTTCATCAAAAACTCACAAGACAGGCGACTCTGTTCTTACCTCTGTGTTTTCAAAAGATTAAAAAAAAATCACTCATCCAAGCTCACAAGAGCCAAAAGCCAGAATTTGAAACCAGATCAGGCTGTGCCAGGTTCAAACCCAAGTCCGGTGACTTGATCAATGACCAGAAGCAGGCTAATGCTGTGAGGAGAGCACAGAAACAGAGCTATCAGCTATGAGATCCAGTTTGAACTCTGCAGACTGAAAATTAATTTTTTAAATAACCATAACCAAATGCTGATATTTATCATTTATCAGAATCATTTTTAGCATCATTTAATACAGTTCCTTTGCATGTATCACTCTTAGAATTGATAATAGGGCTGGGAGGAAGATATTGTTTCTTCACTTTATAGATGAGAAACAAGCTCAGAGAAGTCAGGCAGTTTTTGCAAGGTCACACATCCCATACACAGGTCCCTGCCTCCACAGCCAGAAGCTTTTCCCACTGTGGTGTCACCTGCAGTGATTTGGGGGAACAGGAGGGAATTGCATGACCTGCGATGTGCATTCTGGATGGGCCAGCAGTCATTCTCCAGGATCCCCCATCCAAAGGACGTGGCTCTGGCCTGCAGTGCTCTGCTCTGGGTGCTGCCCGGGTGGGACTCACACTGGCCTTGGGGAGGGGCTTTTATGAAGTCAGAGAACCCTTTGTCAGTGAACCTTTGCCAAGACCTGGGTCACAGGTGCCACCTCAGCATCTGGGAAGCACATTCATGTCGCCCAGATAGGTCAGGAACCACTCCAGGGGGAGCTGGGTACTGCACTCATCTGGGCCAATGTGTTCTTCTTTGTTGGGTCCTTTCCTCAACCCCCACCAGTCTCAAAGCATTTTCCTTCATGGAAAATTGGGTACAGTGTTAATGTCATCATACCTGTCACAGCTGACCACAGTATAAGCAGGGAGGTCAAGATGCAGATAGAATGTATCAGTCACTGGAACCAAATACTTGACATGCACAATTTAAAGGATGGAATGGTTCAGTTGGCTCACAGTTTGGGGGGCTTCAGTCCATGGTTGGGTGGCTCTGAGGCAGAAGGGCACAGCAGAGCCAAGATGTTTAGTTCATGGTCGCCTGAAAGTAGAGTAGGAGAACAGCAACCAAGAGTAAGGGACTGAGGAGCAGACATGGACCCAGAAGGCCGCACCTCTATTACTCACCCAGACACCCAGAAGTGTGCTCCACTAGCCCCTGGATGGATCCCCACCCTAATTATCATAGAGGCAAACACTGGACAAAGCCATCCAGTAGCTGGTGGCTTGGCCTCTTCACTGATGGAGCGGTCAGTGAACCATCGTCCTACCCCATCCTTCACCCCAACCTCCCACTGCCCCTTGGAATAGTTGGATCCATTCTTCCAGCGACAAG